TTTTGTGAGCTCCACCGATGGGTAATGTTTTCTTTTCCAAAGTTCATGATTCTTCTATTCAAATCACTAATTTTCACTGTTACGCTCCAGTGGTTTAGTGCTTCCCAGGCCTCGAGGAATGAGTTTAATTAGCAATGCTGAATAAATTCTGAGACATGATTCATCTTTCTTGTCACTTGGTTCTAAGTAACAAAAATGCAATTTTAAGATGTACTTAAAAGCCTTGTGAGAATGTCTTCTTCTGTATAACTGGTAAAAGATTCAGATGTAAATTTGGAAAAAAGGATTTACCTGTCTGCCTGTTATCAATTTAGCTAAGAGATACAGGATTCAGTCATATGTCCTTGAAGTCACGGGTATGTTGTTTTCAAAATACTGAGCTATGAGCAGGACTTGGCACATACATTCCAAATTAAAACTGCATTAGAGCTTTTTTAGATTAAGTAGTTGACTTGGCAAATTTCAAAACTCTCCCAGATTTAATGTGATTTAATTTGTCTCTGGCTTTTTATATTTTGAACAGAACATACAGAAATCCATTGAAGGGAAAATGTCGTTCTCCAGTGATTGTAATTGTTGCAGCGCAGAGGTCCAAATTGTGTCGCGTCCTTTTCTCTGAACCAAGAGAAGGTGTATTTCTAAGACATAGTGTCATGAGGGGATAATAGGGAATGCAGAAAGGGAAAGGAGTGAACTCAGGAAAGTGGGGTTTAAATTTAAAACTTTGTTTCAGCGTGCCCCGGTAGGCACTGCTAGCAGTACAGAGAACAATAGCATTTTGCCATCGTGTATCACCTTCCGTGCAGAAGGTTCAGGGCATTTTTACACCATTAATGGATGACAAGTCTGCCTCACAACAGCTGTGGGAAGAATTAAATGTAGTCTTCCAGAATTTACAAAAAGGGATCAAAATAGTAACTTGCCCAAGGAGAGCTGTAAGCCAAACGAAGCTGAACTGCCTGACTGAGAATCCCGACTTTAATTCTGAGACCACTTCCTCTACTCCAGCACATGGAGCACTGTGAATAAAAACTATGGATTGTTTAGTGCCTTTCTCATCTAGGCACAACGAAATTAAGGACAAATTGTGACTGTAGCCAGTTCCCTGGATTTTGTCAGATTCAGACAGATCCCAAATGTTATTTTAATGTAACCCTAAAAGAAACCCCTTGCTATTAATTTTGTATTTATTGCAGTTACACTGACCCTAATGAATTTTTTTAAATGAATTTGACAGATGTCACCAATATTTTCAATGCAGTTTAACATCATTAAATAGAACCTTTCCTAGAAAAAAAGTTCTATGAAATGAATGTAGGATAAGCACAAATGCTGGATTCTGGAAAGTCAAGGGTGTTGTATATTACTTAGTACACAAAATAGAAGTTAGGGAATAATGTTTATGGAGCAACATTACAACGTTCTCCCTCCCATGTCTCATCAGTACATCTCACCTGGAAGGACAAGCTCCTTTTGAAGGGAATAAGTTTATGAATTTAGCGCTTAGGTATTATGTGTAGCTGGTTATGCCTTCAGAACCAAATTCAGTGACCATAGGAACTTTTTTTCCAGATTTTTTATTACTTTGATCACATGTGATAGCCAGCCAAGAGGGCTAAACGAAGCCTCTGAAAAGGAAGGGTTGTTCCACTTCCTTGGAGACATGATCTTGCTTTATGTTAGGTTTGCACAGTTTTTTGCACCTGGTGGCCCTAGTTCTGCTTGGAAGAAGGGCAAAGAAAAATCATAGTTCTTTACATTGTATGTGAACTTGTGAAGTAGTGCAAATACATAGTTATAATCCAGGCCATCAGAAATATAAAATGAGTGATTTGAGGACTCGATTCTACTGAATTCCAATACTTTATAAACTTCAGAGCACTGGTAGGGTCCCCAGCTGGAATATAAATAAAGCAAACCCTTTCAAAGGTTTATAGGACTATACTTGGTCCTCTCTTACTGTCTTAATTTATGATTGTTGCAAATTCACAAGCTGTGAAATGTGTTGGTCACAAAGCTGATGGCAATAACTTCAGAATATGAATGAGAGCATCTGGGTTGCTATTTACCTTTGTTTCACAAAGTCAGCTTTTTATCATCATTTAACCTCAGAAATATGGCTGGGTTAGACAGGCATATGGAGCCTTCTGTGGAACAGAACATTGGCTTTCTGTAACTTCATTAGTTTCTTCTGTGAAAAAATATACCATTTGCTTTCCCACCACTGTGCTGTTCCCCTACAAGAATACAAATCAAATTAATGTAAATAAAAATAAGCAGCAGCTTCCCTCTGTAAAAGAAATGAGGGTGCTGGGACTCAGAAATTCTTTATTTTATGTTGACTCTACCGTGACTTGGCTAAAATGAAGGCCCAGGCAGCAAGCCTGCGTAGCACTCAAATCTCATTTAAACCCTCCTTTGCAGACTTTCATTACTGCGTATAAATTTTGCTTGCTTTTAGTTACAGATTAATTTCTTTGTGCCTAACTTTGATGTCTTTGAGTTTCAGTTTCCATATCTGTAAAATGGTGGAGAGATGATAAAGCCTTCTCAAATATTTGTCAATTGCCATGAGTTTCCCTTGGGCTGAAAACTATGGTACTGACTCTTGCTATTGTTCACCAAAAATGGGAATCCATTGTAGACAGTTACTGCGTGCTAACACTTTTTTGTGCTTGATGTCCAGAATATTTGAGACTAATTCAGGAATAGCTTGGTGTAATTTAATGGTCTGTGTTATGTGGGAGTTCAGATTAGGTAATGACAACGGCTACTTCGAATCTATGCCCCAGTAAGTTTTTTTATCAGAAAAAAAGAGAACCTTAACTTGTATGGTGATTGGTGACTCTGAATCAAGGCACTGCCACTTTGTGATATCCAAATCAGGATCATTCTTTTATTGTGGTGTGACTGGATGTAACATTCCGGTGTGCATTTGTTTGAGAAGCCTCTTGAGACTTTTCTGAATTGATGGGTTGGTATAAACGAAACTTAAGAGACTATTGTCACCATATCTCATTTTCTGTTTTCACTTGACTCGTGTCAGCTCTGCTGAGTTTATAGTAAATATTATTTGCGATGGATCCCCTTGCTTGGCTTTTAATGTATTTATGGAGACAATTTCAACTGCTTGATTACTACTTTTACTGCCAGATGCCTCCAGGCCTCTTTGTACAACACATACATATTAAGCACCGTGTTAAGGACTGGCCAGCTCTAAGGGGATGGATTGGGGCCAAAAAAGATAGAAGATTTTCTTGAAAGAGACAAGGAGTTTTGCATCCAGTGAGAAACGGAACTGTTCCTTTCCACTTCCAGAAGGGTCCTGTCTCTTATGGCCAGCACTGGCAGTTGAAACAGCTTCCGTTCTCCTCTCTGACCGGCAAGAGGTTTACAGTCAGGGGACTAGTTATGAGCCAGGGGCTGAAAGCCTTAGATCAAAAGGAGGTAACTAGGGAGCTCAGTTCACCTTTGGTCTCTTAAACTAGGATTGGGTTCAGGCTGTTTGTCAAGCTGAAGAGAGGTCTCAGATCGCTCAAAGGACATGGTGAGAGCAAATGCTGTAAACAAATTGGCAGTTCCTTATGGGGTACTTAAGAGAGAGGAGAACAAAATTTGTCCTTTAGTGTTTGAAAGGTTAAAGATAAGGCTAAACACTGTCTAGTGCTGTGAAGAACTGCCTCTGAGCACGAACGCAGAGGTAACCCACCAACTGTATTGTGCTGCAAGCTGCCATACTGCTGGGGCTGTTCAGGTACTGTCCGTGGGGGCGGCTCTTTGCAGGTGACCAGATCAAATCACTGCTTTGCAGATAAAATTTTCAGAAATGCAGAGGAAGGAGGAGGCTGGTGCAGCCTGGAGCTTCTCATTCTATCACTCCAAGCACTCCAGTTTGTTAGTTGTTCTGTGTTGATTACAGACCAAACAAAAACCAGTTGATTCATTGTTACTTGTTTATGTGTCTCTAATGCTTTTTGAAGAGCTTATTTACAGAGGTGTCAGCTTGACGTTGCTAATTTATCATACATAGGATTTTATTAAAATGCCAAGGAATTCAGTTAGAAAACTAGTCTTCCTCTCATGCATACCTTCTCTCTGTCTGGTCGTGGCTTGTTTATTTTGCACTGTTCTTTTGAGTTTTCAGGTCAAGCCATGGGCTGGGACTACCTTTCTGGAGTTTAGGTGTTGAAAAGCTCTTTGATAAATGATGTGATAGGAACTCCATAAAAATTTTCAAGTATCCTGAATGGCAGATGGTTTTGAAAAAAATTTAACATTAAAGATCATAGGTAGTGTTGAGTCCAGAGTTTGTTCTCCCCGAGCAGAGTGTATATAGCATGTGATAGACAGGTTCCTCAATGTCATTGTTTTATCATGCTTGATGTGATGTGGAGATAGTTGAAATACCTCTGTAACGTGCTACTGATAAGGATGTGTGTAGTGTATATATCTCTATATTTACTTACGTCTTAACCTTTCTGAAAGTATCAATTGACGGTATTCTGTATGGGGTGTTTTCACAGACTGTAAATGGATATAGCTCTAGCTTCTTTTCTTGGCTGAGAAAATTTTTTTCTGTTTTTCTTAGCTGTCACAGGACATCATGCTCGGGTGGCCTATAATAAATACCAGTTATTTATACATATCATTCCAACTGCTGAATTCCTCTTCTTTTAGATGGTAAGAATCTCACTGGATTCTAGGCAGGCTTCACAGTTTATATTCATGGTCAGAGCATACCTTTTCCAACCAGGGTACATTTCTTTTGCTGTGTTTCTTTTTTCAAGAACTTTAAAAAGGAGTACTTTACTGAACTGGTGGGCGGGTGATTCTAACTTCGTGCTTCATTAGCGTGTTATGTTTTTATTTCCTCTGCTGAAGGCTAGAACTGGAGTTGCAGAGAAGTTCATCCAAGATTCTCTGTCTTTTACTGAACGATTAAGCTCCTAATAAACTTAGGTAATGTATTTCTAATTTGGATCCATGTTCATTTATTTTACCATTGAAAGGAAGAATTCACAAGAGAGGCTCAGGTTCACCTCAGTGTTTTCTTCTAAGGTTTCCTCAGCCAAGGAGTCCCTGACCACCACGTAAGCCTCAAGAGTCTTTCCAAACCTAGTGACCTCACGTAATTCCAAAAAATTCCATTCTAGAGCCTGGAATTCCATTAGGCCTCCACTGGTCCTCCACGATACCACGCGGGGCCCCACCTTTTTCCCTAGTGCAACGTCTGTAAAAACAAATGTAATCTAAGCAAAGATTAGATTAATCTTGACCCCATTGCCAACTTAATTCCACCTAACTTGACTGTGTCTGCTTGCGACAGTGGAGAAGGTTGGCTAATAGTCTTGTAAATACTGTATTCTGGAAACTCTGTTTCCTCCTTTTTTCTGATTATATGATACCAAATGGGCAAGCAAAGGTGACTGATTGTACAGAACTGTAATGCAAGCCTTTCCCCCAAGCCTATTTCAAAACACCCTGATGTTGCTAGTCTTGTAGTCAGTTTCCATTTTAAGAAGATACAATATTTATGAATTAATGATGACGTTAACTTAGCTATGTTAAATTTGTGATCAGAGTTTTAAAGTTTTAAATTCTTTCCCAGTCAAATCCAAAATGCAGCTGTGGGTTTCTCACAGTGAGGACTGAACAAACAGAAAGGTCCTAGTGAAAACAATAACCATGGCGTGATGCAGTATATCTTGCTATTTTGCATAGTAGCTTTTGTAAATATCTAAGGATTTTGTCTACAGTTTATAAATAACTTCTGTACAACAACAGCTGCAGCAGAGCGGCTCAGATTATGCAACTGCTTGAAAGGGCCTGGACTAAGCTAGCCCAGTCGTAATCAGGTTGAAAATTTGTTACCTGGGAGTTGAGAAATGAGCCTGAAAGAGGCAGGAAATTGCTTCATAGGGGTAACTGAGATCCAAATAGTCAGGAAGAGAGTTGCAGTGGGCGGGAGTTCTGCCTGAGAGAGGACTTTGGTATTGAACATTACATTGGCAGTGATGCGAGCTAAACTCAGCAGCAGCAGGGTCTGCAGTTCATCAGTTCTGACATCCAGTAGGTGTCATTGCAGCCAACTGGGATTATCAGTCACAGAAGGCAAGGATGATTTGTCAGGGTGCAGGGTGGGAGAGAGGGAAACCCAAGTCTAAGTACATGATTTCAAAGCTGTAAATCTGCAAGCACGTTCGGAAAAGGATGCCTCTACTTATATTTAGATTTCTCCAAACACGAAAACTGTGATTTCTCATCATCAGCCTCATGCTTTTGGAGACATCTGTGTTTAGTTTACTGCAGACTAAAAAAAGAAGTAAAAGAGAAGTAAAATTTTCAATCCCTCCCTATGAATTTGGTTAGATTAAAAATGAGCATGCTTTGTGTGTAAAGGAAAGGTACGGTCTACCTGAGTTAGGGCTTTGATGAATTATTATCAGAAAGGTTATTTTAATTGGCAGCGGTTGATCTACAAATGACAAATAATTGCCTCAGAGAAAGTAGTTTATCATGGGCCATAAAGCTAGAATGGTAGTGCTACATTCAGAGTCATGGTTTTATCTTAAAGGGACTTTTTCTTATGATTTGGCTTAATATAGAAGCCAGTAGGACTACTCACAGATGTAAGAATAATTCACGTAAATTAGAAACTGCAAGTGTAAGCCATATCTTCATGTGTGGTGCTGGTGACAATGACATAAAACAATGTTTAAAGAGAAGTATTTGAGACTTCAGGTTGCAGAGTCATACATTACACAAAATTATTTCTTGGATGCAATGTTTTTTTCTCTTGTGACAACTCCTGAGTTCACAAGATGGTGCCTGTGCTGTTTCTGAATTAATCACAGTAGCAGTTATCACAGTATGTGTAAGGATTTGGCCTATTCCTTTAGAAAGTTCCTCAAACATCTCAAGAAGTTGTCTTTTAATTGAAAACCAGGAAGCAATTCATACATATGACTTCAACATCTTTTAAAATCCAAATTATTCTTAGATAGATGATCTTTATCCATCCAGGACTTACCTGGGTTACCTTCAAAGGATCAACTTCTCTGTGTGTTATTCAAAGGATTGTAAGATTAAGGCTCAAATTAGATGTTTGGCAATGCAATGTATTGCACACCCCACACACACACACAGTGTATTTGGGCTAAGAATAAAGGGTGTAGATTCTCTTAAAGCACATTTTGAGGTGTTTTCCTCAACGCTTGCACAGCTCCAGACTATAAACTGTTTAGACGGCCTTTCAGAATTTCTTTACAAACAGTAGAGAGTACAGCAGAAGCAGCCATACATGATCGCTGCAGATGAATTATTCATGTTAATATTTACTAAACAATACTACCTAAAACAGAGAGATTATGAGCTTAACTTAGAAAGATATTTGGCCTGTAGCACACCACGTCCAGTACCCCCAGCAGAGGCACAGAAACACGGCATGGCAGATAACAGGTTCCTTCAGTCTCCCTAGAAAATGCTAGGACTACACAAGCAATTAGTGCTATTTCTGGGGAAACAAAAGATGTATCCTGAAAGAAAATTCCTGTGAAATAAAAACAACAAAAATAACTTAAAATATACCTAGGAAATGTTGGGCCAGTTCCACAGAGACGTAAGTAAACACAACTTTAAAAACAAGTGGAGCTGTTTATCGGTGGAGAGATTTTCAAAATTGACATAAATGCAGTCAGCCCTTGCTGTGATGATACAAAATCCTTTCTCTGCAATACTATACTCTTCGAGTGAGTTCAGAACATGGTCAGACCGATTTGAAAATACATCTTTTTAGTTAAGTACCCTGTTACAGTTTCTTATAATTGACGCTTCCTCTGGTTGCTTTCAATCTATTAATTGCAAACAGATACTTTCCGTCAAAACAGCTTTTACTTTAGAAGACACTTACAAAGTGATAAGCCGTATAGTTTCCACAGGAGGTGTAGTTATGATCTTCTCTGAGTCCCAGGAGACCAGAATATTCTTCCTACCATGGTGAAAATTCCGTACATACGGTAAAAAGGAAAAGCAGCTGCCCAGGTCACTGATACCTATCAACCATAGAGTGAAACTTCTGTAATTGATCGTTTTTCTTCAGACCAGGAGATAGTAATGCAGTTTTCTTCAGACCAGGAGATAGTAGTGCATCTAAAGGGTGCCTGTTGGTGATACATAAAACCTGCGACTCCACCACGAAGATGACAGACCCACTCCCCAGAGCTTTTGAGACTCCCAAGAAGCAGCTACTAACCTAAGCACATTTGTGGGCTTACGTCTTCTGAGCTGCAAGGTAGAGCCATTGGTGCCTACCGCAGCGGGTAAAAACGTTCCTTCTGTTTGAATTGCTTCTCTGCGCCCGTGTTTGCTTTGCAAACCTGCTGTGCTCCTTTCCCCCTCTTCACACATCCTTCCAAGGACAGCTGTAAGAAAATACACGATAGGTGATTCCCTTGGAGAGAAATGGACAGTGTTGTTGGAGAGCTGTATGTAGCTTATTTCTGAATCATTACCGTGCTTGATTTATCGCTGTGCTAGGCTTTGTGCTGGCAGGGCACCTGTGACAGGTCAGGGGATCACGCCTCTTCCCTGCATTTTGAAAGCCTAAAATTGATTAGCGTCCCTCTTGTGTGAATTGGTTGATATCAGCATAGGCAATGGCATCAGGATGCACAGGCTTAGGCTGTTTCTGGTTGCATACAAACAGTTATGCTAAGCTTGAAGGGTAAAACCATTTAACAGTCAAAATAAACAGGTAAGTACAGAACAAGTAAAACAGCAAACAAATGTAATATCAGGAGAAGTACTAACTTCCATACAAAAGAATTACACACATATACAAATGACTTATCACTTACAGATTACTTTGACTTGGATCCAATTGAAAATACTGTAAACCTTTTACTAGTATATTCCCGTCTGAGTCTTTCCGTTTAGTTTTGCTTCAAACTCCCTTTTCCAAGCCCTGAATAGTGTATTTGAGATGGCTAGTTTGTTAATGTTTTATCATGGTAGCTAAAATAAATTCTGATCCTTCCTGTGATATGAAGAGAAAATTAAAAATCAACTTTTTGCATATAGCTTTTATATAATTTCTATGTAACGGACAGCGTGATTCAATGTTCAAAAGAACCTCTTCACTGAAAGAAGACTTTGGTTTATTATTGGTTGGACTGGAAGTCTTTCATGTGGTGCTTACTCAGATCAGCTTTCTCTCCCTGTTGATCAATAGTCCGTCTCTTAAAACTGAAATACTGGTCTGATAACTGTAATCCTGCCTTTTAACTTTGATAACTCTTTTAAGCTCAAGAGATAAAGATGCTGGAGAATCTCTTGTACGCTGCAAAGATTATTTGCAAGATTAAGTTGACCCTGTACACCTTGGCTTAAAAAGTTTTATATTCTCCTGTAGAAATGTTGAGGAGGTAGTAAAGGAGTTGTTCTAACATATGTCTGTTGAATAATGGATGTTAGGAGATGATAGAATTACAGCCAATGAGAAACAGTTTGCATAAACACACTGATTTTTTAATGTTTAAAAAAATATTTTAAACCTTTAGCCAATGAGGATGCGTCCTCTGAATTTCAGAGATTTTTAAGTAGCAGGTTGGAGTAAGATGTTGTTAAGATATACAACTTTGAAAACAAGTTAGAAATCCCTTCAGTTCTGTCTACATCCATTTTCTCTTTTGTCTCCCTGTGCGCTGCCAATATGAAATAGTATTTGGTGGCAAACAAATAATCCAAATTCTGATATAATTCAGAATGAAAAATCTGAGAGAGATCACTGACGGAAATGAAAGCTCTGCTGATATGGCTGGCTGCTCAGTACTTCCAAAAAGCTGTACAAAGCAGGTACAAAGAAATCAGCATAAAGGCCATCTTTCTATAATTCCCACATTTCTGGGAATGCTGAGGTTAATAATGAACACCACCGCCACACCCCTTCCCCCCCCAAAATAAAAAGAAATCTCTCTTGGGGGCCGTAATTGCTTTAAAGGTGAGTCAGCCTGAATTTAGGAAGATGGTCAGTCCTGGCTAACCGGCTCTAGATTAACCTGCTTGAGCAGGGGGGTTGGACCAGATGACCTCCAGATGTCCCTTCCAACCTCAATCATCCTGTGATTCTGTGAAGACCAGAATATTACTGGGATGTGAGTTGAAATGTTCTGTATATAAAAACAGCCACTCAGTAGACGTTTCCTCAGATTAATTTGTTCATTTTTTACTATT